AAAAAAAAAAAAAAAAATAGGGAAGGGTGGAGGGGGTGAAGGGAGGGCAAAGGAATGGGGAAAAAATGAGACCCAAGATACATCATGTACAAGATCCTGATGGTGAATGTAACTGTGCTGTATACATAAAAAGTGCCAATAAACTTAATGAAAAAAAAAATTTTTTAAAGGAGAATTGGGGGAGTGAACTGTTGGATGAATACAGTTTTGGTTTTACAGGATAAATTCTAGATCTATTATACCAAAATATAAATACAGTTAGCACAACTGGACTACACAAATAAAAATGCTTAAGACAGAATTTTTTATTTTTTTACTAGAATTTTTAAAAGGCAGGGAAGGGCAGTCACAGAAATTAGCTGTAATAATGATGAGAAAAAATATTTTAAATTGACTAATTCCTAATGACCAATCCTTAAATTATTTTCTCCTAAATTAAAAATATATATATCTTGCTAGTAGGCTAGGGAGGCTTCTCCACGATAATTAAGCAGGGAGACCATGGGGAGGGATTGAGGCATGGAAGACAATACAAACACTTAGCAGGGTGGAAACACAAAGCAGGCTATTCAGACACAATGTACTGTGTCATCGCCCCCTGAAACCCGGCCCACCCCACACAGAGGCTTCTCTTTTCTTTCCAAGGATGGAAAAACTCAACCTCCTTCAAGGTCCCTGCTCCCGCCACCTTCCGCAGCTGTACCTTAAGCCTCCACTCCTCTCTGTGAGCCTGTCATCAAACGGTCTCTGTTCTGCTAACCCCGTGCAACTGCAGATCACAGTTTCAATGTCCTTTCTGTGACTTCCCTCACTGAACTCTTGTCAGAGCTGCAGTCTAACATCTACGTGACTCTTTGATTATCATCTGCCGAGGACAGGGACCACATGTATGCACACACTCTCTCCCACCTCCAAGCCAGGCTATTCAAGTGAATAAATAAGTGAACACCAAATCTATTTTTTAAAAACAACAACAAAACATCTTGAAGTTTTCTTAAGAATTTGCATCTTTAGTGACTCTTCAAAGCAAAGAAACCTAAGATCTCTATGAAACTAAAAAAGTCAACTGAGGTATCTCAACTGCTCCGGCCTTCCTATGTCACATAGCAAGCACTGAGCAACAGGACTGATAAGCTAAGAACACATGAGCACGGGGTAGATAAAAGAACTGCCACTTGCTGAGTTTACGGTCGTTTTTTTTTTGAGATCTCCTGACAGGATGCCTGCTACATAGGAAACACCTGAGGAACATCAAACAAAGCAAAATTTCACAGACTCAAGTATATACAAAACAGTAACTCCACTTAAACTTCCGTGTTTCCTATAAATCTAAGACCAACTGAAGAAGCAAAGAATCCCTAAGGGCAAAGCTCCTTGCTTATAACTTTATGAGAGTAGATCTGAAACAGGAGACACACCAGAAACATTTCTTCTGAGTGTCTGAAAGGAACAGATCTCCAATCAAGACTTCAGAGCTTTAAATAAGCAAGGATTTCAAAATGATACTGCAAACTATTTCTCAAACCTTAGAGTTAAGAATACGAGGAAATTATTTAATGTTCCCATCCACTCCAATATAAATACAAATTGCATCAAGACCTTAGAGACAAGTCTTATTTAATCCATTAGTCCTGAAAACCCCAGTCCATATTGATTCCTCCATCTTTAACTTAGTATAGCATTTAATACCATATTTTGCATGTAAACAAATGCCATCTAATTGCTTTTCTCATGATTTAATGTGTGTTCTTGTTCTCAACCCTTTTCAAATACATGTAACACTATAGAGGTGCTTAATGAACACTTGATTTTTGAATGAATTTTGCTAAGCTATAAACTGCTGCACTTTATTCCTAAATAATGTCACTCCCAAGACTATCCCCATGTCCCTGTTCTAGCGTCATCATCATTGAACTAACTCCAGCACCACTGGACTAATTCTAAAATCATCTTCACAACTGTTTAAATGAGGCTTAGTATTCTTAGTAACACCCTTCAAACCCAAGTGGTTTTCAGTGCTTAGTGTCTTTCACATATAAACCAGGATTATTAACAACAGCACTTGCCCACATTTCAGTGTAGCAAATTTCACTTGAAATCGTTCCCCAAACTAGTTAGTCCCAGGGAGATTTCCACCTGCAAAAAGTTGGCCAGGCATGGTGGCGCAGGCCTGTAATCCCAGCAGTCCGGAGGCTGAGGCAGGAGGATCGCTGTGAGTTCGAGACCAGTCTAGACTACATAGTGAGCTCCAGGTCGGTCTCAACTACATACTGAGACCCTATATCAAAAAAAAAAAAAAAAAAAAAAGTTGCAAGACTCAAAATCTAAGCCACAATATACTCGTGCACAACTACAGAGCTAGTTCCTCGGGAAAGGATCTCAGTTCAAAATGTACAATTGAACGAGCCTCTACAATCAATAAAGCACATAAAGTGCATCACTTTGGAGAGGCAAATGTCCAGTACTATAATTAAGCGGCTGCTATTCAAGACTCCCGAGGCGCCCATCCCTGCAGGTCCTGGCCACCTCAATCAGGACCGGTGACAAAGAGACCACGGGTGACACAAGCCTCAAAAAGAGTCCTCTCTATCGCAACAGGCTCCAATCT